ATGGGGGACACAGCCCACGGGGCACACAGCCCACAGGGGACACACACGGGGGACACAGCACACGGGGGACACAGCCCACGGGGGACACAGCCCATGGGGCACACAGCCCACGGGGGACACAGCCCACGGGGGACACAGCCCACGGGGCACACTGCCCACGGGGGACACAGCCCACCGGGGACACAGCACACAGGGGACACAGCCCACGGGGGGCACAGACCATGGGGGACACAGCCCACGGGGGACACAGCACACAGGGGACACAGCCCACGGGGGGCACAGACCATGGGGGACACAGCCCACGGGGGGACACAGCCCACGGGGCACACAGCACACGGGGACACAGCACACGGGGACACAGCCCACGGGGGGACACAGCACACGGGGAACACACACAGGGGACACAGACTATGGGGGACACAGCACACGGGGAACACACACAGGGGACACAGCCCACGGGGGACACAGCACACGGGGGGACACAGCACATGGGGGACACAGCCCACGGGGCACACAGCCCACAGGGGACACACACGGGGGACACAGCACACGGGGGACACAGCCCACGGGGGACACAGCCCATGGGGCACACAGCCCACGGGGGACACAGCCCACGGGGGACACAGCCCACGGGGCACACTGCCCACGGGGGACACAGCCCACCGGGGACACAGCACACAGGGGACACAGCCCACGGGGGGCACAGACCATGGGGGGACACAGCCCACGGGGGACACAGCACACAGGGGACACAGCCCACGGGGGGCACAGACCATGGGGGGACACAGACCACGGGGGGACACAGCCCACGGGGGGCACAGCCCGCCACGGGAGAATGGCGCCACGCGGGGCTCAGGGATGGGCATCCACACGCTGACAAGCGTGTCTGCTGCTCTGGCCCCGCAGCTGGGGAGGCGCTGAGCATCCGGGGCCACACAGGCTCCGGGCGGGGGGAGCCCTGAGGTGAGGCTTCCCACCTCGGCCGAGCCCCACTCAGAGAGCCACAACCGCACTTCCCCTCCGCGGCTCTGCCATGGCGCCCAGCGAGGACGGAGCCGCCGCCCTGCAGAGCCGCCCCCCTCCCCCGCCGCCCGCACTGGGGCCAGCCAGGCAGGAGTACTGAAGCCTGGGCGGCGAGCGCCCTCAGGCCTCCCGGCCCACGGCGGGCAGCGGTGCGGTGCGTCTGAAGGAGCAGGGCGGGCGGGCAGGGACCTGGCAGCGGGGAGGGCGGGGCTGGTCCCTGCTGAGTCCAGGAGCGAAGCTGCTGGCCCTGACTCAGCGCTGCCCAGCATCCTTCCCAGAACTTCCCGCTCCGTGCCAGGCACCTGCTGGCAGCGGCACAGGCCAGCCCAGGCTTTCCGGGAGCCGGCCCCCCGCAGCTCACCCAGAGCGGACTGCCCTGCGAGGCGCCCAGCCTTTACCAGCGGGCCGCCGGCTGGCACTGAACAGACTCCCCACGGCCCGGAACACTGACCCCCATGCCCCGAACAGCCTCCGTGCCCCCCAGGAGGCCCCATCCACCCGGCGCCCGCATTTCCTCCTCAAAGATGCAAAACACAAAGTCATTCTGGCCCGTCACTGGCATCTCCCGCTGGCATCTCCCGCTGACGGCAGGAACCCTCCGCGAGCAGCCGCAGTCTGGGGAAATCACAGCCCCTCAGGCTGTGCAGAAGGAAAGCGGCCGCAGAGTTTAAGACTGCCTCCCAGAAGGCACATGGGGACGTGAGCCTGCAAACGGCTTCTCCAGACATTTTTTAACACCGGTTTCAGAGGAAGGAAGAGGGAGGGAGGGAGAGAGAGGCATCACTGATGCCAGAAAATCGCTGAAGGGCTGCCTCTCTGCACGCCCCAACTGAGGATGGAGCCCACGACCCCGGCCTGTGCCCTGACCAGGAATCGGACCGTGACCTCCTGGTTCAGAGGACGGTGCTCAACCACTGAGCCACACCGGCCGGGCAGCAAATGGCATTTTAACGTGGTACTACTACACCTCCATCAGGTTTACGTTCCACGGGACGTAGGCAGTTACTAACGACTCAGGGAGGAAAACGGCCCGGCGTCAGGAAGAGCCGAAGGCACCCCAACCTTCTCAGAGCGACAAGCACAGGAAGCACGTGGGTCTCAGGGTGTTTGCCACCGCAGGGGCGCACCAGCAGCTCAGCACCGCATCCCGCCCCGAGCTGGGCTCCGTCTAAGTGCATCTAATCCCAACGTGAAAAAAGTGCCTTCGCAGGCACCGTCCCCCCGAGACACATCCTCCCGCCCCCGCCGCTCCATCTAACACAGCAGCCATGCCGGGCCGGAGCCTCCCAGGCAGGCCCGCCGGGTGCTGACTGTGCCAAACGTGTGAAACTCCGCAGGAGGGGGAGAATGAAACTCAGCTCGCAGTGCCAGGCAAATCGCTGAGCGGCGGCATGAAGAATGGACGGCGCCGGGGTGACCTCACATACCCCACGCCCTCAAACAATCGAGACATTTAGGTCCAGCGACGATCTCAAATGAGGCACCGGCCGCCCAGCCCCGGGCTGAATGCGGGCACTGCTGCCCGCAAATGCCACGCGGGACGCAGAGACGCAGGTGCAGGTGCCTCTGGAGCCCAGGGGTCAGCGACAGGGATAAGCCAGAATGAGGAGCTGACAGGGAGGAAAAGGGAGGAGCAGAGCAGACACCACCCCCTGGGGCCCTGAAGCACCCATCTTTGGGCCCCGGCACCGTCACGGGGGTAGGTGACTCCCCATCCCCGCCGGCGCCGGGTCAGGCCGGGAGCAGGCCTTGGAGCGCCCGCTGCAGAGGGAAACGGAGGGACTCCATCCTCAGTGCTGCGGTACACGCTCCAGGACGGACCAGCATCCTCCTCCCCTTTAAAGACTGGCCCTGAAGGACACGGGCGGGGCCGGGCATCACCCGCCACGATGACCCCGGGCCCACATCCCTCCCCTGCCACAGCGGAGCCCGCTAGGCGACCCTGGACACGGGCTCTTCCCGGCCCACTGCGCAGAGGCCGCAGCCAGGACCCGACAGCGCTGTCGGAGACACCGCGTAACCTGGCCTGGGAGACATGTCCCCTGGCCCCGGCCATTTGTCCTTGAACATGCAATGCCCCCCAGTGACCTTTAGACGAGCAGACTTAGCTTTTCCTCAGCTAGCGGCAAAGCCACACACACAGAACACGCTCTGCCACCTTCCCTGGGAGCCTCCCTGGGGCTGAGGCCTGGGGGGCTGAGGCCTGGGGGGCTGAGGTCTGGGGGGCTGAGGCCTGGGGGGCTGAGGCCTGGGGGGCTGAGGCCTGGGGGGCTGAGGCCTGGGGGGCTGAGGTCTGGGGGGCTGAGGCCTGGGGGGCTGAGGTCTGGGGGGCTGAGGTCTGGGGGGCTGAGGCCTGGGGGGGCTGAGGCCTGGGGGGCTGAGGCCTGGGGGGCTGAGGTCTGGGGGGCTGAGGTCTGGGGGGCTGAGGCCTGGGGGGCTGAGGTCTGGGGGGCTGAGGTCTGGGGGGCTGAGGCCTGGGGGGGCTGAGGCCTGGGGGGCTGAGGTCTGGGGGGCTGAGGTCTGGGGGGCTGAGGCCTGGGGGGCTGAGGTCTGGGGGGCTGAGGCCTGGGGGGCTGAGGCCTGGGGGGCTGAGGCCTGGGGGGGCTGAGGCCTGGGGGGCTGAGGCCTGGGGGGCTGAGGCCTGGGGGGCTGAGGTCTGGGGGGGCTGAGGTCTGGGGGGGCTGAGGTCTTATGGGGGCTGAGGTCTGGGGGGCTGAGGCCTGGGGGGCTGAGGTCTTATGGGGGCTGAGCTCTGGGGGGCTGAGGCCTGGGGGGCTGAGGCCTGGGGGGCTGAGGCCTGGGGGGGCTGAGGTCTGGGGGGGCTGAGGCCTGGGGGGGCTGAGGTCTGGGGGGGGCTGAGGCCTGGGGGGGCTGAGGTCTGGGGGGGCTGAGGCCTGGGGGGCTGAGGTCTGGGGGGGGCTGAGGCCTGGGGGCTGAGGCCTGGGGGGTCTGGGTGAGAAGAGGGCGCCAAACCACACTCAGTCCCAGGAAGCCAGGGTCTGGGCAGCCCTGCCACCCCTAAGTAGTGCGACGCGGTGGATGTGGTGGGAGGGCAGTGGAAACCAAGGGCCCAATGCAGGGAGGGCCCAAGGCAGGGCCCCAGGCATCCTGAGCCTCCAAACCAGCAGCGCTCACTATGGGGGGCGCACCCCACAACCTCCACGCCTGACCTCCTGAGGGACCTGCTGCCTCGGGCTGGGGGGCCACCTGGGGGGCACGGATGTAAGGAAACCCCACCCAGAGGGGCGCCCTCGCAGCGGGTCCAGAAAAGTGGTTCCTGGGAGGAGCGGTGAGTTCCCGGGGCCATCAGCGACCCCAGCCTCGGATGTCCGAGACGCCACCGGAGCCACAACCCCCCAACCCAGACCTGGGCGCCCGGGCCCTCCGCTCCGCGGGCCGGGCACAGAGGGTGCCACTGGGACCCAGCGCCCAGCACCTGCGCCGCCGCTCGGGCCGCAGCAGACACGCTGGGCGGGCGGGCGGGCGGGTGGCGGGGACACGGCGGCCGCAGTGCGACTGGCGCAGCCGCCCAGCCCGGCCGGCCGGCGCCGAGGAGGGCCGCCGCCGGGAGCGGGAGCGCGGGGGGCGCCCCGGCCGAGGTGCGGACCGGTCCGGTTCCGGAAGGCAGGCCGGGCAGCGGATGGGAACCGGCTCCGGACACGGGGCCGGGGGAGGAAGCGGGGGCAGCGGCGGGGTCCGCCCGGAAGGCGGAGAAAGGTCCGGAGCGCCTTCCGAGCCCAGGATGGGGGCTGAGGGGGGTGAAGAGCGGGGTGCGGGGTCAGGAGGAGCGGCCGCTGCGGGGGGGGGACGGGGCCGCGAGGTGCGAGCGGACCCGGAGGGCGAGGGCGCGGGGCCGCCCGGGCGCGGCGGGGCGGGCGGGCGGGGGCGCCCCAGGCGGAGCCTCGCGCACCGGGCTGGCCCCGGCCCCGCCGCTCGCCGGGCGGGAGCGGGACGCGCGGGCGGCGGGGGCCGCTCACCTTGGGTTTGTACAGCCACTTTCGGAACCTGTGCATCATCGCCGCGCCGGCCCGGCCCGCCCGGCGGCCCTCCCTCCCGGCGAGGCGCCCGGGCCCGGCGGCGGCGGCGGTCCCAGGGCGCCGGGGGGCGCCGGGCAGGTGCGCAGCCGGAGATGCTCCTCCAGCGGCGCCGCGCGGACCCGCAGACCGCGGCGGGCGACCGGCTGACGCGGCTCGGGGCGCCGGCGCCTCGCGGCTCACTGACACCCGCGCCTCCACCGCCCCCCCCCCCCGCGCTGCACATGCGCCGAGGCCCGGGAGCCCCCTGCCCGCCGCTCGCCGCCCGGGCTGCCCAATCCGCGCGCCGCGCCGCGCCGGGCCCCGCCCGAGGCGCGCTCCCTGCCCGGGGCAGCCCGGGCGCCTAGCGGGGCCTGGAAACTACAAGTCCCGTCCGGCATCGCAGGGGCCGGGCCCAGTGCGCTGGGCCCTTTGCCGCTCAGTATGCGCAAGGCATTCTGGGGGTTGTAGTCTTCTTGCTACGGCGCCGGAGCGTGATGCGGGTTGCTAGGCGACGACATCCAACCAGTTGTCGCCCTTCTTGCCTCCTGCGGCGGGCGCCCCGGGTGCTTGCAGGATCCCAGCGGAGCAGGAGCGAAGCGGGGCGCCCACCGACACTCCCGGGTCCCTTCGCGCCCTTCCGTGCCGGCAGCCCCGGTGGCGGCGGGTGGAGGGGCGAGAGCGCCGTGCAGCCGCCCGCAGGCAGGTACGGGGGCGGAGAGGTGGGGCCGGAGTGGAGGGGCGAGGCTGTGCCTGCACCCGCCTCCGCACCGCCCCACCACCTGCGGGCAGCGCCCCGCGTCTTTGCTTCCCACCTCCTGGCTTTTGGTCACCAACTTTTTGGACTTCCTAGCTTCTTCACTAAAGTTAATGGCGCTCTTTTTTTTTTTTTTATTTAATATATTTTTATTGATTTTTTACAAAGAGGAAGGGAGAGGGATAAAGAGTTAGAAACATTGATGGGAGAGAAACATCAATCAACTGCCCCTTGCACACCTCCTACTGAGGATGTGCTGGCAACCAAGGTTGAATCAAACCTGAATCAAACCTGGGACCTTTCCATCCACAGACCGACGCTCTATCCACTGAGCCAAACCAATTAGGGCTCCGCGCTCTTTTTTTAAATCTCCACAATAAACCGGACTTAAAGGGGAAAAGGGGTAATTCCCCCATATTCACTATTTCTCTCTCCCCTAAAACCCACTATCCCCCCCCCCAATGGTGCCCCAATTTGGATCCATAAAAACAGTCACCAAAGTCTGAGAACCTATCTGTGCGGAGCAGAGGCTGAATACGAGTATGGGGGTTCGCTTTAAATCCCACTGTCAGCGGGGGAAACCGAGGCACAAAGAGATTTCCCCTCATTCTGACCTGGAGAGGGGCCCGGAGAGGGGATCCAGGGCCAGGTCTGCCCCACTACAGCCCGAGCTTTCCCTGTCCCCACCAGTGCCCCTCCGGCTGCTCTGAAATGGGGTGATTTAGGAGCAGGACAGAGAATGTGCTCCCAGCGCTCCTGCCTGTTACCCGGGCACAGGGTCCGGGTGCCCGGATGGTGCTGGAACCCCTGGCCCCTGTGTTCCATTCAAGGCAGCGTGAGTCTGGGCAGGCAGCCTCCTGAGTGCAATGAAAGGTTTCAGGTTCAGTTCATGGTCGGGGTGCAGGCCGTGCCCGCTGGACCTCTGGTTGGGGTGCATACAGGAGGCAGCAGATGGGTGTCTCTCCCTCCTCCCCTCTGGGTGCTGGTGGTCCCCCACTTCCGTGCCTGAGACCCCGCCTGACTTCCCTGCTGGCCTCACCTGGAGCTGCCTCACCTTCAATCCCGTTCAGCCTCCTCTCTCCTGAGCCCGCCATGCCCAGCCCCTCCTCCGAGGCTCTCTGTCTTTCAAGTGGTCCCTGAGCTCCATGCTGCCAAACCCAGGGATGGAGCTCAGCTGCCTCTTCCTGAGCTGCCAGCAGCGGTGACCCTCTCAGACACCGCCCTCTGGACATCATCAGTCTCTGCCGCGCCCCGTGGCTCTTCCCGGCTCCTTGGCCAGCGCCTCCTCTGGCTCTCAGGCTCACTAACACGAGAGCCAACTTGGTCCTGGGAAGCGTCTCAGTCATTGAGGACAACTTCCTGTGACCACGTTTCACAAACAACCTTTATGCCAACCTGTCCCTCCCTCACCTCCAGCTGGGCCTTGCCCTGGGGGCCCAGGCCTCTCCCCCTGTTCTTTGCCAGTGAGGTGTGTGACCAATCCCCTGAAACTCTCCATCTTCCCCCGAAAACCCGCCCCTCCCCAGCCGCCTGGTTCGGCGTGAGAAAGGTAGACAGGCAGGCGGTGGACTGTTCTCTGTGGGGCTGTCTCTGACGGAGTCCAAGGCCGGGACGGTGGTCACTGCTCAGAGGCTCCTGCCCAGTTCGGAGCGGCTTGGGATGGAGGCTGACCTCGGGGCGGTGGGCGAATTGGGTAGGATTGGTTTTCGGCTGCAGGGAAGGAAAAAGCTTGTTTAGGCTCCCTGGAGCCTAAACAAGATAGCTTGTGTTTCCGTAAAGGAGATCCAGAGGGAGGTGACCCAGAAAGGTAGGGCCGCCCCCCAAACTCCTCAGGGACCTGGCCCTTCTAGCTTGCTCTTCTGCCGTCCTTAACATGCTTCCTCGCAGCGCAGAACGGCTGCCTACGCTCCTGCCATCGCCCCCTGGGTCCCGGCAGCAGGGTGGGAAGGAGAGAAGGGCCCGCCCCTCCCGTACGCAGACACGTTCCATACGTCCCAGAGCCTGTCCCTCACTCCTGGGGCCCAGCTGCCAGGGAGTCTGCAGAAGGCTCATCGGAAACTCCGGGTTGTTTCCTCAGGAGGAAAGGGGAGCATCGATTGGAAAACAACCGGCAGACAGCCCTGCGGCCGGTGCTGTAAGCACAAACCATCAGAGCGACGTGGCAGAAACCCCCGGGAGGCTCGCTCTAATCAGAATTAAAAGCCAGGAACAGAGTCTGTTTAATTAAGACGCAACTGGGATCCATGGGAAGGAAGTGCCTCTGGTGCTTGAGGATATTGGACTCGTTTGGTCCAATAAAATGTAGCTCTCGTTTCTGTCGGATTTGCTAAGAAATGGGAAGTGTCGGTCCATCCCACCCTGGAGTTTCCTTGCATCTGAGATAGTCAAGCCCTCATTAGTGAAGTCAAAATCAATCCCCCCAGCCGAAACCGGTTTGGCTCAGTGGTAGAGCATCGGTCTGTGGACTGAGGGGTCCCGAGTTCGATTCCAGTCAAGGGCACGTACCTTGGTTGTGGCTACATCTCCAGTAGGGGGTGTGCAGGAGGCAGCTGATCGGTGATTTTCTTTCATCGATGTTTCTAACTCTCTATTCCTTTCTCTTCCTCTCTGTAAAAAATCAATAAAATATATTTTTTTAAAAATCAATCTGTCCCACTGCCCTCATGGCTGGTTTCGCACCTTTAACATGAAGCCGAGCTCCAGCCAGGTGGCTCAGTTTGTTGGCGCATCATCCCCTACACTGAGAGGTTTCGGGTTCGATTCCTGGTCAGGGCACATCTGGGTGGATCTCTGGTTGGGGCATGCACATGAGGCAGCGGATCGATGTTTCTCTCCCTCTGAAATCGGGGAACACGTTCTGGGGTGAAGATTGCAAAAACATCACTAAATGAAGCCAGGGTGCTGAGGCAGGCAACAGAGTTGGATGAACGTTAATACCTACGAGTATTTCCAACCCAGAAGCTGTGAGTGCTTTCTGTAATCCTCGCCTGAGGACATTTTTCGATTGGTTTTGAGGGAGAGGGAGAGACAGAACAGCGATGTGAGAAAAACACATTGTTTGATTGCCTCCTGCATGCGCCCAGGACCAGGGAAGATGTGAGTATTTGACCAAGTTCATAGGCTCATTGTTGCCACGTGCACCCACCGGAGTGGCTGCTTTGGGCCCAAGTTTGCAGAAGGGACAGTTCAAGCCCAGCTGGGCTGCTCCAGGGCCACCCTCCTCCCCACCACCCTCCACAGATCCCCCTCCCCTGCGCTCATCGTCCGTCCAGGCCCCCACTGGGGAGGGGGCTGTTTCTCTGGCTGCTCCCCCGGACTGGCCTTGTCACCGCCGGCCCCTGGGACCGCCCTCTCTCCAGGGTCAGGCTCCAGGACGGGAGGGGGCGCTCCCACTTTGCAGGCCACCACTGTCCCCGCCTCGTGAGGTGCAGAAGGCCTGGGTCATTCCTCCAGGCAGAGCCGAGCTCAAGGCAGACACAGGAAGGCGGGCCGAGGGCCCCTCCTATGACCACCACAGGGTGCCAGGGTCCAGGACATTGTTTATAACATTATACATAATAAAAACATAAGATACATTTTTATTGCCCTAACCGGTTTGGCTTGGTGGAAAGAGTGTCGACTGAAAGGTCCCAGGTTCAATTCCGGTCAAAGGCATGTACCTTGCTTGCAGGCACATCCCCAGTAGGAGATGTGCAGGAGGCAGCTGATGGATGTTTCTCTCTCATCGATGTTTCTAACTCTCTACCCCTCTCCCTTCCTCTCTGTAAAAAAATCAATAAAATATGTTTTTTAATATTTTAATTGATGTCAGAGAGGAAGAGAGGAAGAGAGAGAGAAACATCAATGATGAGAGAATCATTGACTGGCTGCCTCCCACATGCCCCCCACTGGGGACCAAGCCCACAACCAGGCATGTGCCCTGACCGGGAATCGAACCATGACCTCCTGGCTCCAAAGTTGACACTGAGCCACGCCGCCGGGCTGATTAGACTTCGAATCCTGGTTGACTCCTTTCCCTGCGAGCCCCAGATGCGCAGGTGTCACTCCCTTTACCACACTGTTCGCCGGCCCTAGCTCATCCCCAGGGGTCACAGGTCAGGCAGAGGTGCTAGGCCTCAGGGACTCCACAGGCAGGACAGCCCCCATTCCCGTGCTCAGCACAGCTGTGTTCTCTCACTTCCGCTTGCTCAGGGAGCACGGTGTGACCCCGGGACTTCCCTGTGAAAAGGGGAAAACGGGGCTTGGT